TGTAGGATTACACCCTAAAGCCCGAAACCCTAAACCCGAAACTCTAAACCCTGAACCCGAAACCCTAAAACCCTAAACCCCAAACCCTAAAACCCTAAACCCTAAACCCTAAAACCTAAAACCCTAAACCCCTTAGGAGACCAAAGGCTCTTGCCATGGTCGGGCGGCACGTAGTGCGCCTCAAAAACTTCCGCCAGGCCATCCGCATCGAAGGAATCGATCCGTCGGTCGACGTCCTGCTTTGCTTTGGAAAGTGGGGGTTTAGGGTTTAGGGCTTAGGGTTTAGGGGTTTAGGGTTTAGGGGTTTAGGGGTTTAGGGTTTAGGTTGGAAAGTCCTAAACCCTAAACCCTAAACCCTAAACCTCTGGGTCAAGGACTTGGGGCCCGAATCTCTTTCTAAAAGAATATGAGGCCTACATCCTGCATGACCTTAAGGGCCCTAAACTATGGGAATTATGGTATATTCCTTAACTTCTTGTGGGTAATATAATGCAGGAACTATATCATCAACCGTAGTGAGTGTGAGGTAGTACAGAACAACTGCCATAGACCATAGAAAGAGTGCACCACAGTGCAGTCGAACATATGCGGCTATCATTGCCAGGTTTATATACAGAACATATGCATGACCGAAAGAGAAGTGCTAAGTAAACCCTACAGACTCAGAACCCTATTAAAGTCCTAAACCCTAAACCCTGGAGTCCGTCAGGTGCACGGTCTGCAAGCCCAGTGGGCAAAAGTCCACATCCTGACATCTTCAGCGCTTCCCAGCGGCTTTGAGCCCTCAACCCGAAACCCGAACCAGAACTTCAGGGGAGAAAGGATACATATATGGGTAGTTCTCTAAATTAGCGTCCCGTCTTCGGTCCCCAAGATAGTACGACCCTTATAAAAAGGACTCCCAAGGGGACCTTAATTTAGAGAATTACGCATATATGTCTGTGTCTACGTGTATGTGTTTGTCTATGTGTATGCATATGTATATCACATGTACAGTGTACAACATATGCATATGTAAATGCCTGCATGTATGTACATGTGAATGCATAATGGTATGTGCATGTGTATACATATGCATCTGCATTTGTAGCTGTGTACATGTGTATGTATTGCATGCAGAGGTATGACTACATGTTCGTAGGTCCGTATGCATGCATGCAGTGCATGTCTGCATGTACATCTGTTATTGGATGTAGGACTTCGAGTGTGAGCTTTGGGTCTATGGCCCCAAAACCTCGTCGCTCTCGTTGAGGCTAGGATGCTGTGGGTTTCGCTTTCCGGAGTAAACCCTAAACCCTAAACCCTAAACCTAAACTGTACTCTGGCTCAGGCAGCGCGAACAGATGAACTACCCTCGTGTTGCCAATGCTGCCAAGCATCGTTGGAGACGTAGACTCTGGCAACCCATATCCTCGCAAGAGATGGTAACTGCCAAAATCATGGTCCCTTTTGGGCACCAACCCTAAACCCGTAAACCCTAAACCCTAAATCGTCCCTTCGGGGAACCCCCTGTCATTCTATTCGTAAAAGAGCACCCTGGAGTTTGGCAACCCAAAAGGGCCCTAATTTGGACAACCCCGCAGGCGGACCCTTCCGACTGCTGTCGTCGTTACTTGCAGGTTCCTGAGGAGTTATAAGTGGGGCGATAAGTAGGGTTCCTTTAAGGGCTCTATAGGGTTTAGGGTTTGAAGTTTAGGGGAATTATAAGGGGTGATAGGTCCCCCGAGATGGGCTATAAGTACAGTCACTCTACTTATATTCCTACTTATAAATACCCATGGACCTCCCAGTACTGATCCTAGTAGGCACGCTACAGATAGGATCCCTGTATTACAAGGCCTGAGTATTTGGAATCGCCTGTCGCGAGAAAGTACATGTTTAGTCATCCGCACGGTTGTCGGGGAGGCTGAATAAAAGTACCGTTACAACTAGAGTAGGGGATTTGGGTCATATTGAATCGCAACTATCTCAAGGCACCCTGAGGCGTAGCATTGTAATGCGATTATTCCGGCTATTACATTGATGAGTTTTGCGAGTTTGGGCTTGGCTCATCCTGAAGTCTCCGAAACCCACATCGACAGAACAAGGACCGTCTAGGGTGGTCTTAGGGTCCCCTCATCAACGCCAACTTATATAACTATTACCCGGATACGGAATACTAACTCTGAACAGCAGCTGGTTGGAAGCCAAGAAGGCTTGCTAAGATGGTGCGGACAGGTTCTCGAGTAAGCTTCCTGTTGCAGATATTTCAGCTCGTCATAGCTATGCAGCAACATCTAGCAGAAACGGTCTAGGGGCCGATGCCCTAAATTTCCTAAACCCGAGATGCCCTAATACCCTAAACCCCAACTAAACCCAAAATCCCCGATGCCCTAAGCCCGAAACCCGAAATACCGAATACCCTAACTGAATGCGAAAATCCCATTAAAGGAACCCCTTAAAGGGAACCCTATAAAGCCCTAAGCCCTAAACCCCAAAGCCTTAAAGGAACCCCTTAAAGGCACCCTTACAAACCCTAATATAGGGGCCTTGATAATTAGAATAGGGTTTTGGGGCTCATTTCACTAAAATCTGTAATAAGGAGCCCCAAAAATAGTATTGGTAAATTATTCAGGCCCCTACTTCCCCCCCCGCCCAATAAGCCTTAAACCAGGGCAATAAAAGGTTAAACTTTCAGGTTTCGTCTGAATCATAAGAACCCCAAAAGTTTAAAGGTTGGGTATCGGGGGGAACCCTATAGATCCCTTTACAGGAACCCTATATATATATATATATAAACCTCTGAAGGAACCCTATAGATTCCTTTGAAGGTTGTGTATTGGGGAACCAAGACTTTACTTACGTAACGCCTACATTACCCTAAACCCTAAACCCCTACACCCCTAAAGCCCTAAAGCCCTAAACCCCAAAACCCCAAACCCCAAAACCCTAAAGCCCTAAACCCCTAAAGCCCAAAACCCCAAAACCCCAAAACCCTAAACCCCAAACCCCTAAACCCCGAAAAACCAAAACCCCAAAACCCTAAAACCCTAAAACCCTAAACCCTAAAACCCCAAACGCTAAAAGCCCTAAAAGCCTAAACCCTCTGCGAAGAGAAGAAGGTGCCTCGCATGAAGATGTACTTCACAGAGACCTG